TTCTATAATCCGGTAGTAAATAAAGGAAACCAGAAGCATTGTTGGTGATGGTTGGCAGGCTTCCGTTGGTGATGGTTGGCTTTTTTTTTTTTTTAAATAGCTCATTGATTTTGGACTGCATCCATTTCCAGCATTGTGACTACACTGCATATAGTAATTGACTATAAACCAGAGTGCACTTCTCCAGCCAAGTCTTTTTTTGTTTTGTAAATTTTATTGCACTTCAACACCATTAACCAGCCACTCCTATTTCAAGCTGATATTCCTAAATTGAGTAAAAATAAGCATCAGCAACACTGCAACTCAGCCAAGTTAAAATGGAGAATGTTTGACTCCACATGGCTCTGAGTGCCAGTGTACTATATTACTTATTTCTGAGAATGCTCAGGTCAGTGATGGTATCCATCCCAAGACCCACAGAAACCAGCCAACCCTTTGCATTCACCAGGGAGGATGCCAGAATAAAAACTTTGTGCTTAAGGACTTTGTGCATCAACTGAGGATTAACTTTCGGGCATTTTGCTGACAACCAGGAGTCCTGGGCTCCATCCCTCCTACAACTAGGCTGCCCCCTCCGCCTTGTACCATTCATGTCCTTCCCAGTTGCCTGCTTGGATCAGAGGAGAGCAGGGCAAAACAACGAGTGTGCACAGTAATGGCAGCAAACAGCCTTGCCAGCTAGCATCTCCTCATTCCATATAAAGCAGAACATAAGCACAGCTTTGCCAAACGCCTTGAGTTAGGAATGAGAGGAACAGAGTGCTACAAGCTTATCTACCCTCCTATAGCTGAGAGAATGTGGGAAGACCTGGCCCTGCCAGTCAAATGAATGCTATTTCAGAGAAGAAGCACAAAATTATTGCTTTATGACCACTGTGCTTTCATTCCTGAAAGAGCTTTTTCTTCAGAGGCTGCAAGTGAACAACTTCTATTGGTTGCTGTAAAAAACAAAAAGCACAGCAAAGAACAGTATTTTTTTTTTTTAATCTGCTGAGTTAAAACTTTTCACTGTACCTCTGATACTTGCTAATTTGGTGGCTGAAACGTCAGGTAGGTTTCAAAGTATTTTGCTCTGCCTCTCTGCAGAGCCCATCAGCAGAACAAATAAGTTACCAGTGTTTGTATTCTCGCTACCTCAAACTAGCCTCAGCATAAGATGACAGGAGCAAAGCTAAGCTTTCTCTAGGTCCTTACATGGCACCGGTTAGTGCTCTCCATAAAGGACAGAGAACAGGGAGGCCAGGTTTCTCTCTGCTGTCTGTCCACAACAAAGCTTTCCTGTCAGATTATTGATACCTCTTCTGACAGCAACTTTCAGCCTGCACACCCGTGCCACTTTTAATTCACTAACAATTAATCAGTTGCCTTGCCTGGAAGCATCTCCAAGGAGTGCCGGGATTGCATAAGGGAATTGGGAGGAACAGAAGGATGACTGTGCCAACTTACACATAGTATCACCACAAAGACATAAATCTGAGCTAAAACAATACATTTGTTTACACGCAAGGCTAAAGAAGGTTGGGACAAAGAAAACTAAGTTCAAAGGAAAATCTTCTGGTTATCAAAGGGGAAAGTCAGTTACAAAATGAAAGCATCCTGTTTGATCATTGATTTAAATAGTTCTGCTGGACATGGCAGGCTGCAGCCACAGGAGCAAAGACAGAGAGATGGGCACATCTTTGGAGGGGACAAACTGTCCTGCTCCAAAATGCATACAAAACAAAGGCACCTGTGAAGAGCCAGAGGGTGCCATACTCAGATCATTACAACAGGCACATTCTCCTCTTATGCTGCTCCTGTTACAGTTTGGCACACTTACATATCTTACTCACTTACTCCAGCTTGCCTTTAACTCCATTTGGAGCACACTGTCATTTCATTAATAATGTATCTGTAGAGTGACCACAGTTACGACTTTTAGGCTACACCATAGACCAAAACATCAAGAGAATCCAGCAGCTTTCCATGAAACCCTCCCCCAGAGTCCTGGTTACATTCAACAAGTCAAACACCCAAAAGATTTTATGACAGTGTATGATTTTGCAAGAGCTGATTCTGATGACGTGCTTTCCAAGCAGCCAGCTGGCCCTTTTATTCCTGCCTCTCTCCCTTCCTCCTGCCCTGTTACTAATGGGGAGAGCATTTTACAGCCTGCAGCTGATGCCAATGTGCCTCTTCCTAATCAAATCAGGTGTAAGAGCAACTGCATTAGAGACAGGAATTCAAGCAAAACACATCCATGCAGAAGCTTGATTTATTAAGTGTTTGAGCAAGGACTGGGTTGCTAATATTGAAAAATTTAAAGGGGGAAAAATAGCAGGCTTGAACCATAGCACTAAGGCTGTCCATGTGTACGGATTGGGCAATAGCCCAAGTATAACAAGCCTGCCCACAGCTGTGGTGTATTTAATCAAGTCTTACAGACTAATTATTGTGCACAACTAAATCCAGCACCTGTGTAATTGTCTTATTTCAGCAGTGGGCAAAGCGACATAAGTTACATTTTCAATTTCAAAAAGAAAAACCAAAACAAAATCTCTTTGGGTCCAAAATGTCCACAGTCAACTGCAATACACAGGCAGAGAAGAGGAAATATTTAACCAAATTCACATCAAAACACCTACTCACATGAGAAAGCTCTTTCCTATTAATACTTATGGTATATAACTGCAGGTCCTCAGAATTAAGTGACTGCCACAAAAGAAAATGAGGAGATGAGAACTTAAAACCACATTCTCTGTCCTATCCCTGCCCTCCCCTCACCCCCCAAAAGAAGTTGTTCTCTTCTCCCACTGAAATTTAATTCCCACCACTATGTTCTTAAAGCTGGACTCCTGAAAATCTGTTTTTTATACTGTATTAGTCTTGAAAATTGTTTCATCAGTATGGGTGTAATATTAACGGTATTGACTACTAGGAGTGCACAAAAAGCAGTTAAGATTTCTTTTCCTCAGCAGTAGGCAGCAAGGCTGACTACTGCTTTGCTTTGACTACATTAACAGTACTAAAAATGTGTATATATAAAATAAAGTGTGCATGGAAATTGTATATACAAGTAAACACCACCACATACAAATGAATAAATTGCTATCTTTTTAGCAAGTCTGAACCAGTTGCGACTGCTGCAAGAAACATGAAATCTGAAAGGCACCTGAAAGCTTCCAAAATAAGGATATTTCTTTTCTCAGATTTCAAATGTGCTTTTGGCACACTCACATTTTATCACTCAAAATAGCAACAAGCCAAAACAGGCCAAAAGGACAGAGTTAATTCAATGCAAAGATCTTCCCTCTCAGTAAATGTCTCACACAGTACCACTCTTAGCAACAGAATGTTTATACAGCACAAGATAAAGAGAGGCTTTTCACTAACACCTGTGACAAAACCGAAGAACAAAAGCAGCTCCCAATGCAAGAGAGAAGTGTTAAATTTCTCAAGTGTTCCCACCTAATGTAGACAAGAAGGCCAGCCATAACAAGTTACAACAAACAACCCGTTTACCCACTTCCAGAAAATGTCTGTAAATTTGAACTGTGTGAAATGTCTAACTACTTCTTTCATTCCATCCAAAGGCTTCAACAGCAAAGGACAATAAAGCTGCTGGCTTGACCTAAAGGGGCTGGCAGGTTAATCTATTCTGACCTTATCTTTATTCAATCATGATACTGAAAGATTGCTTGAATAACTTACCAGCATTTTACAATACCAACAGTCACCCTTTTACTACAGTGCTCCTCCAAAGTGCCCTCCAACCAAATTTTTAAATCATGGGGGTTATTAAAAAATTTTCAAAAATTGTAAAATAAACCAAAATGCTATTTCTCACTCATGGGTACAGAACAGAGGAAAGAGGTAAACAATCAAAATAAAAAGAAAATTTTTATCTTGCCATGCACAACTCTCTCAGATTTCCACCACTGCTTATTGTCAATTTTAGATCACATGCTATCTCTTGTTAACATTCAATCGCATCTTTTATTTATAGTATTTTCACTGAGATGGAAGAAACTAGACAGAAAAAACACTATTTGATAAAAACTGCCTTGTAAGAATAGGCTTAATCAAACAGACCTAACACTTTGTATTTTAATAACTATTGGCTTGTTTTCAAAACCAAGCCCATGAGAGTGTTCAGCACTAAACATAGCAAAGCAGTGAGTTAAAATTAAGCACATGATTAGGCCCACAGAAGTTAGTAAGCTGGATTCATGACTCAGCAATTGATTTAACCACTAAACTCTCATATATTTAAAGTTCACAGCCTATGCTTAAATGCCTTTCTGGAGAAGAGGCTCCAACGCTCAGCACTGGTACACAATCCTATGAAAGCATTTTCCTCCCTTTAATAGTACAACAACCAACTGTATGAAGACACTATAGACTTAAATCAACCTGTTAGAACAAGGTAGCTTTGCGAACAGCAAGAGTTATGAGAACAGACTTTCAGCACAGGTTTCTTCATGCATTCACATTTAACTGTGCAGCCATAATTCTTGAAAACAGATCACTCATGTGACCTGCCAGGAAGCAAAACATTTTGGCATGAAGAGAGCACCACGTTCTCACTTGAGATATCAGCTAGAGCACTTATTCTTCAGCACCAACAAATGCATTTTCATTTAACATTCTACACCTGTAAATGGTTTCGCAACACAAGGTAATATCAAGAAGCACAACCAACCATAAGGCACCTAAATGACATTTTAAGATGCCTTGAAAAAATCCATGCCAATCTTTTTTGAAATGATCCTGGGAACAAGGTCTAAGCTTAAATCTATTCCTAATTAGATTTAGGCAGATGCTTAAAATGCCCGTAAAGATTAAGTGCCATCATCTTTTTCTAAAAGCAGGATCAAAGAACAGGGAAATAAACCATAAGCCAGTGACTCCAACACACAATGCAAAAGAAACCAAAAATCAAGTAAAGAGCATTTCACTTTGATTGCAGAGAACAACTTTATAAACTGTCCATAGAACCACAGTACCTCAACAGTTCCTACCTTGAAAAGCTGTGATATGACCAACAATCATGTACTTCAGTTCAAAATTCAGTGCCTGGATACTTTGAGTCCTCTCCCTTCGAACAGCTGCCTGGTAGCTTTCTTCCATTTTTTTGGTACAACATGTTGGTGCTCTATGTTGACAGATCTGTAAATCTGACTCTTAAAGCAAACAAGAAAAACACAATAATTAGAAAACTTTCCAACTTACATCATAAACAAATAATGCTTCTTAATGTCAAAACCATCACATTTAAAATTTTGAAACAAAACACAACACATAAGGAATGACATTGTGAAACTTGGTTACTCTTTGGTAGCTGGAGTGGCTTTTTTTTTTCCTTTTCTCTCTAGTTTTAATACATTTAGTTCCCTTCTGATAGATTTCAAAACAAGAAGCAATAGTTGCACAAAAATAGAACTGATTTCTGCAGCAGCCTGGATTTAGCTATCTAGAGCCAGAAGAAATGGACTCACACAGAGGAAGACCCAGAGCTACATACAACCAGTGGGAAATCAGAGACTACTATTTTGATTTCCGGGCTTAACACAGAGTGAGAGTCAACAAGGCTTCACCTGAACCAAAAATAACTGTTTTTAAACTCAGCCATATAGATCTCCATTGACTTAATATTAAGTAACCTTAATATTTTTGAAACCAAGTTCTAACCTGCCTACATGTAACATAAATGTACTGAAATATCTTCTACCTCACAACTACAGAGAAAGTTGAAAGTTGATTAAAAACTTAAATTTTTGTGGAATTTTTATTTTAAATCATTTCATCTCTGCACGTGTTTCAGGAAGTTTAGCATCCTTGATTAGGAAACCTACAGAACACACAGCTGTGATAGACACTCAGGGTCTATTTGCTCTACATCATGGGATTTGCAGGTACCAGAAAGTTCCAGAAAGGAGCTCTTACAGACTACAGATGAATATATTCTGGTGCTTCATGAATAGTGTTTTAAGAAGAGGAGGGAAAAAAACCAAGAGGCGATTCAGTAGAGCAAATCCCAAACCAGAGGTAAGCATAAAAAAATACCAGAGCCAAAACAGTCACACAAGATTAAAAGGCAGCTATTTCCGATGCCATTGCCCAGTAAATCAAGAACACCCCAGCAGGAAGCCTCGCACCAGCACGTTTCAGGCACTACCTTCCATCCACCTCAAGGTGCAAATAGGGGCCCTGAGGGAAAAGGGCCCTGAATCACACACAATCACTAAGGTTGGAAAGG